AAAAATCTTATGTTTTTCATACTCAGCGCGCCAGAAATCGCGTCGCGCAAATACACTGCGGTACGCAATGGGTTGAAGAAATACGGATCCACTTTTGTTGAAGCTGAAGCCAAAATAATAGTTTTTAGAATCTGTTTTCCTCTTTAAAACTTTCCACGTTTTTGAATGGGATGACCTAATATTTTTCACCAGTTTTGCGTGGGCCATCATGCTTTAACTCATCATGATGCATTTCTGGCCACTATACTCACCCAATAAATCATAATCATGGTGGATGGGCTAGCGCACACTACCACCTGCATCACATGGCGCATCTTCTCGGCACAGATTATTCAGAGGATAATTGCACGTGGTTCACTGAAGGATAATTGGAGCACGCCACGATCGTTGAAGGGGCTCTACTTCTCTTAGTCCAAAAGCCTGCTGATCAACCCAAAGATTTATAAGGTCCAGTGATGATCCTTAGGCTCGAGTCCGCTCTCGCTGAGCACGTTTCGTCAACACAGAATCCTTCGTTACTCTCTTCTGAGAGCTGCCAGAAAACTGCTGCGCAGTTATTTCAGTGTTACATAGGAAGTTCCTCTCATTCACTATATACCCCCCTTCATGAGCTAGTGCGTGTCCCACACGACCTCTTCCTGTATATCTGTCACTTCGGCGATGGAAACCCCATCAACAACTTCCCTTGATGCCCGAGTTTCCGCTATTTTTCGGGTCATTCTGAAAAAAAAGATCAACGTCAGCTACTGAAGGAGATGCCCGGCTTCGTAAGCGGAGCTCCCTCGAAGAAAGAGAAAAACCTGAGGTTCCCAAGACACCACTACAATGATAAAGTAGGTTCTCACTCATACTAACCTATTGTTCCGTCACCTACCACAGGTTGTTAGGTAATTCGTAATGTGCTATAAGGCTTACCAACCCTATCTTGTACTATCCACTACCCTTCCAATCCTTGGCTTAGGAGCTCTAGCTTTTTAATCTATCTTATAAACTTCATGACATCTGGGGAAATGGAAGGACGCCCAGAAGACCACATTTAGTAGCATTCGATGAACCCAAAGGCCAAGGCGATCTTCAAGTACTACTCGCCGTTAGAAGCTCAAAGCGATAACCTCGGGAAGCTCTTCTTGCTAGCAGCGCTTTGGAGGTTTTGCAGATATTCTATGGAAAGATAATTCCATATTTATTCTTCTTGCCATGAGGTGTGCTAGTGA